CCTTTTCCCCGATCCTTTTCCATTTCTCTTTCATCACCACTTCTCTCACCAAATCAATAGTTTCCAAACGAATATTTTCCCTTTTTTTCTTTAATAAATATTCTCTAGTAGGCTCCAGACTCTAAAAAATTTCTAAGAATTAGATTTTTCTTTTAATAAACCTTGAAAAACTCGTCCAGATCATAAAAATCATTCTCCATTTGAGTAGTTTGTCAAGTAGAAGCTTTAGAAATTAGAATTAGAAAGCAAAGCAGCAAATTGTTGACAAAATTTGAGAGAGAACGGCCTCGTGTCACGTGGATTCTTATCAAAAAAAGTGGTTCACTTTGCAACCAAAATCATGAAAACTTGAAAAAAACCTTGCGCAAGAGTTGAAAACTTTGAATCGTTAAACTCTTGTTGATCCGCTTTTAATGGGAAACTTTTTTTTTGACGGCAATTTTATTGAAATCAAATTTAAATCAAATTTATTTCCAAGGTCAATTTTGAAAAACAAATTCTTTTTGATGAAAAACGTTCATCAAACGCTAAGTTTTCTAATTCGATTTGAGAAACGGGAAAAATTACGTAAGAAAAAACGTTTACTGGCTTAATTTTGTCAAAAAAACAGAACGCCGGTTGCAGCCAAAATATCCGGCGATGGAAAGATCGACTGATCCTCAGAAAATTAACAGAAAATCTTTATAGAATTTTACTGAATATAACAAAGAATAGCAACAATCTAAACCACAAAAAACAGTTAAATCTCAAAGTTTCCTCCTTTTTCCTTAATGTAGGCCCTAATTCGCTTCGGCACATCGTCGACCGGCATAGAGAGTCTCAACAAAGCTTTTTTGCTCATTCCTTGATTGTAAAGAAATATTCTTTGCGTGCTTGGTACTCTTCACTCAAGACACGTTATTTCTTGTTTCGAGATATTTGATCTTACTTGAACTAAGACACTTGATTCAATAGCCGACTGACTCGGAATTTTTGGGCTCTCACTTGAGCAATTTTCACACAAAATCGACAATTGAATTAAAAGCAACGATAAAAACAGAAACAATTTCGTCCTAATTAGGGCACAACTTTCACACGATGAAAGGAAAGCAGAAAAAAGTAAAAACGCATCAAATGAACAACGGTTGCCTTATATAGGCTTTAACACAAGATATTCAGCTAACAAGGTACAAAACAATAAATGATTTGGGGCGCGAAATAGAATGAAGGCGCACGGATTTCCGCAATACTTTTTCCAATTTTTAGGCTGTCAGAGTTAGGTAACTTTTTAGTTCGCCACATAGATATTGATTCGCCACATTGATAACGGTGGCTTTCAGATCATTCAAATATAGCATGTGGAGTTGATGAAGCCTTTGCCTTCAAGATTCCATATGGCGAAATCCATAGGATTAATGTCTGATGAATTTGCAGGCCATTCTTCCGGGGTAATGAAATCCACGTTTTGCTTGACAAATCACTCAAATCCGATTCGATTTTTCGTGTATTTCCCTAGTTTACCTTGTATTTGTAATACTCCTTCAAAACTGTGATCAAAGTCGAATGTTTTTCGTTTGGAATGGAGAGCTTCAACGTATCACATGCGTTTCGATAGTGATTTAAAACGTCCGTTTGTGCAAAACCGTGATCTAGCTAAGTATGTAAGTTGCAATTTGGAAAATCTTTGAATCCACCAGCAGAGAAATGACGCCAATCTATTGATTCACGAAGATTCGATTCATCAATCCGAAAAGCTCACAATGTTTGTCATACTTTTGCAGAGTTAAGAAGAAGAATTGCCATCGACTCTTCGAAATTCAATAAGTTTTGCAATTTCTTGCTTTTTGATTCTTTTCGATTCAATCACTTTCTCGAAATCCTTAAATTTTTCAGTCTTACACCAAGAGATCGATTGACAAACTACTTCCAAAATCTCCGTCAACTCTCGCTCCACTTTCACCACGCAGAGGTTCTTCTTTGTTGGCTGAACTTTATTTTTGAAATAAAATCCTTTGAAATAAAATGCATCAAGAAATGAACCTGAACCCACATTCAATTTCCTTCTTTGTAACACTTTTTGCTTCAAGTTTTGTGCATCTGTCCATTGCGAGTTATCGTTTCGACAAAGAAGCTCATCCTGAAGTTAAATTTGTTACAAGTTTAAATTTCCCAACCATCGAATAGTTCATTTAAATCTGTTTTAGATTTGAGAACCATCAAAAACCCAAAAAAACCTCTATAAAAGCTTTATGCAACCTCATATCGTTTAATGTTGACTTTAATTTTGTGGTATAGCAGTAGATATGCAGAACACTCGTCGTGGAATCTGTTTACGAAGTGGATCACCATTTTGGCTTCAATCCGAGCCTCACACCATGTGACGTACTCTTCGTACAAGTCAATGCAATGTTTTTGTTTCTCGGCTTTGTCAGAGAATTGCTGAAATTTTAGTTACAAGGTTTAGAACAAGACTTGACTCGCCTCACAAATCATTTTCAACACCGCAATTTTGTGATTCATTTCAGTTAGCGCTTCATTATTCAGAGCTTCCACAATCGCATCAAGTTCTGTGTTGGAAATCCCATCTAAAACTTCTTTTTTCTTATTCAAAGCTGAATGCTACCGTATTTTGGAGAAGGAGATCGCTCGGAAACTGGTAAAGTTCTCATAGTCAATGAAGTAGTGGTACTTGTGGATGGTGACCTAAACCTACTGTAAACATTCTAATAGAAGCGCAGGCTTTTCTGTTTTTCAATGTCCTTCTAAAATTCTATTTTGTGATCTAGCTCTACCCAAATTTCCATGGGCTCAAAAACAGGCGTGTTTTTTATTGATTTTCATTCAGTTTTCGACGTCATTAAGCTTTTTTTAGTCTATAACTATTATTAAAAGTCTTTGAGAGTCTTTAAAAAGTCAAAAATTTTGCTATCCGAGAGTTCGCAATTTGAAAAAATGCAAAATGAAAAAAGAAAGCTCTTCTATTGGAATAAATATGGTAACTTCTGACCTGATTTGACAGATCCAAAGATCTTGTTAGAGCCCAGACTTGGCAGAACCTGGACCTTGACTCTGGCTGTTCTGGCCTGGTTGACCTCATTTATAGATCCTAGAGTCGGGTTGGAACGCTTTAATCTCTTTAAAATCTTTCCCATCCATTCTCGAAGTCACTTCTTCAATCATCAACACTGTTTCCTGTCTCAATTTCTCATCATCACTCATCAAAGCCAAGTCTTCAATGGTAGGCCAAACCTAAAATGAATTAAATTTTTGTTTAAATAGTCATTTACCGATAAATTCTTGTCCTGATCGCTCATCTTGAAATATTTTCAACTTAAAACAGAATTAAGACTGAAATAAATGCAAGAAAAATAGAATCGACCATCGTTTTCTCTCATCCATCAAAAATGAACTCAAAAATTTATTAAAGATCGTTTAATAGTTCCATTTCTTGGCCAGAGTCAGTTCTTTGATTCGATCGTGACCCTTGTTGGTGACAGTTTATCGCTTGTGGATGCCCTCGATACGGTGGGGTCATTCCATATAAGCTAGCTATAAAATGATGATTTGCAAAGGTTTTCTTATCAAATATTGGCTTACTGGCTTAGAACTGTTTGCAGATTTTTGCAAAAGCTTCAGCAATTGAGTTATTTAAAAAAAGCTGAGGGGAAGCTTATCAGGTGTATGGATATCAAATAACAATGTTAGTTATTAAGCAATTTCCTGCCTGCATTGCAGATGATTGGAAGCTTCGGTAAAGAGAATATTTTCCTCCATTTGTTCCCATCTTCCAGACTCCTCAATATCTCGGCTTCTCGTCGTTTCACCCCATTTTCTCTTCGTTCCCCTTCTTCCCGTTCTCCCTTCTGAATTGAATTCTTGGAAACTATTTTACAAAACAAAAACCTCTTTCTTTACGATGAACCACTCTTTTATATCGCTCAGTAAAGTGATGTGGGTCCCGGTCGGAACGTTTAACGGAAGATCTCTGCGCACTCGCTCGTACTCATTAATCGTCTCCCTCTCGCCGAAGCCATTGAATGGCTGAAAAGTGCATCTCTTTGTCAAGTTCCTTGTCATCTTTTTGAATATTAAAGCTATCATTAGAGCAGTAAACTAGGCCAGGCTTAATGTCAATGTCGGCCTGAACAAGTCCTCAGAACGTAGCATTAAAAAGTGACAACGGAACATTTCTTTGAATTAATTCTGGCTAGAATCCAGACTGGTATGGGTTTATTGATTAGTTGTACCGGTAATTATCGACTCACCAGACTGTAAAAGAAAAAGATCCAGTTGTCGACGAGCACTTTGTCAAGCAGCTTAGGCAATTCCCCATATTTGTCATACTTGCAAAGAGTCCTCGAGAAAAAGTCGCGTTTACTTTTCGAGAATTCGATGAGTTCCGAGATTTTCGCAATGCTGAATGAGCCACACTCGAGCACATTGTGGAACTCCTAAAAGTGGAAAATTTTTGAGATAACTTCAGGAAAGCATGTTTAGCATTTTCGACTATTGACTTGTGGAAAATCCATGATGTACAGTAGTGGTTAAAAGCTTGAACACATGCATCTGCGCGAACTTAAAAGGCTGTCATCTCGCCGCTAGTTAATGTTATTCAACTAACTAAAAACTTATTCTGTGTCATTTTTTGCCTTTTCAACTCAGCTTAGGTTATACGTTCATTTCATTTTGAATGAAATCTGTACCGTATTGTCTATTCGTCATGGACTCCCTTTCAGCTCTGATATTTTTGTGCATGTTTTTAAGCGATTTCGGCAATCCAATACCTCCAAAGATGTTTGAGTGGATTCAAGTCTGGGCTTCGAGCTGCCTACTTCAATATCTCGATTCCTTTTTCTTCTAACCATTTCTGAACGATCCATAAAGTGTGTGTTGGGTCGCTGTCTTGCATGAAAATCCTCCAAATTGTTGTGAGCCTGTCAAAGTAGATTTGAGCTTAAGATGGCTAGACTTTCGACATGTTAAACTTGCTTTCATCACTCCAGAAAACACGTGTCCAATCATCCGTCGAACAATCCTGATGTCCTTGTCCAATCCAATCCTGAAGTTGTGTTCTGGGGGATTGCAAGCTCATAGTAGGAAGCGACTGCTTTGCAATAATTTGAAGCAGATTTGCAAGGATCTTTCTTGATGCTTCTGAGGAAGGTCGAAGTCTCTTTGACGTCTTTTTTGGCCGTCCTTGAATAGGTTGCCGCTTGATCGGGCCCGAATCTTTCCACTTGCTTGACTGCAGCTGAGTAAGTAAGACGACAGATGTCGGCAGCTTTCCGACAGCTCATTCCACCATTCGTTCCACGAGAAGCTCCTTGACATCATCAGAAAGGTTTTTCTTCTTCATCAGAAAGGCGATATATCTGTAATCATCAACATAAACATAAAGCTGTAAGCAAAAGTGTAAACATAAAGCGTGCGATCAAATTGATGATCAAATTTGAGATGATCAAATTGATGCCGCGTTAATATCAGCCTGTAATCGCTGCTAAAGGATTCCCAACTAAATATTAAGAGTTATTATTTTTAATGCAATAAATTTTGTTATTTCATGAGCGTGTTCAAACTTTTGATCATTTCAAAAAGAAGGTTATTTCAAGAAATACATATAAAAAAGTGAAAAGACAATGAATATATAACCTACCGTATTTACTCTAATAAAAGCCCCCCCTCTAATAAAAGCCCCCTCTAATAAACGCCCCCCTAGAGGGGTATCGAAAAAAATAAACGCCCCCCCTCCAATAAACGCCCCCCTCCAATAAACGCCCCCCAAGTACGAAAAGTTACAAACTACATAGGAATAGCGACTTTTTTTTGATAATTTTTTGGTTTCTCTTTTAAACTTTCTAAGCAATCATTTCTACGTTTTGTTGATTTGCCGTATACTTTTGAAGTACCGCCCCCAAGTGTCCCCAAAAAGTTTCCCCAAAGTGTCCCCATATGGGAACTCTTTTTGATACTGAAATGCTTCGTTTTCTTTTTTTCTCTAGAGCTTTTTTAAAATTCTGTTACAGACGAAATTGTTTAAACTCTCCATATTAGATTTTCTCTTTGGGGACAGTTTGGGGAAACTTTTTGGGGACACTTGGGGGCGGTACTTCAAAAGTATAAATTGTTGAAATAATGTGTTTGCGGCCGACGAGACTGCTGTCTGGCTCGATCACTCATCGAACAAGTGCATTGATTCGATCGGAGCGAAAGAAGTTGAAGTGCTCACAAGAGGTTACGAAAAACTCAACGTTACGGTGATGCTTACTGCCAGAGCTGATGGCTTTAAGATGAAACCGTTTGTTGTGTTACCACGAAAAAGAATGGATAAGAAAGTTGAAGAAAAGTTTCGCAAACGATTGATCCTTTATTGAAGTGGTAAAGAGCAAAAATGCTTCGATAACTCAATCACAACTGATTATTTGGAAAGGACCTTTCGGGGGATTGGGTTCTTTGACAAAATGAAACGCTCTTTACTAGTATGGGATCAACACACGGCCCATCGAAGCGAATCAACGATGAAATCTTTGACAAAACTAAAGCTAGACTGCTTTTTTGTACCTGGAGGCACGACTAAATTTGTTCAATGTGCAGATGTTTCCTGGAATGCTCCCTTTAAAAAATATATTCGACATCAATATGAAGATTGGATCCTATCAACGGCACCCGAATTGACGAAATCGAAAGCTGATGGATCTGGTGGTGGTAACCCCAAACCTCCTGCAATGGATGTTTATCTGGAATGGATTGCTTCGTCTTGGGAAAAACTATCTTCAGAAATGATTGCCGAGTCATTTAAAATCTGCGGAGTAGGAATTGATCAGGATGGAAAAGAAGATCATCTTATTCACTGCTTCCGCTCAGATGGCCCGATACCTTCCGGATTTAAAGCAATTCAGAGTGCCCGATTGGATAAGGAAATCGATAAAATTTTAGTCCCAAGCATCGAATCAGCAAATTTTCGTGAGCCTAGACAAGAGGCTGAATACGATTCTGATACATCAATTGCTTGAAATGCTGTTTTTCTTACATTCTTAGTTTCTGTTAATTTTTGTTGTTGAAATAAATAAATAATTCGATGAAAGTGACTTATGATCTCGCATGCTTTATTTGCACTACTATTTTTTTTATCGTTGAATCAACGTCAATTATGTGTCTAAGTACGCCTGCAGAGGGCTATCGAAAAATAAAAGCCCCCCTCCAATAAACGCCCCCCCTCTAATAAACGCCCCCCTTGAGGGGTATCGAAAAAATAAACGCCCCGGGGCTTTTAATAGAGTAAATACGGTAGTTGAAAAGGCAAAGAAATGATACAGAATAAGTTTTTAGTTAGTTGAATAACATTAACTAGCGTGGAGATAACAGCCTTCTAAGTTCGCGCGGATGCATGTGTTCAAGCTTTTGACCACTACTCTAAATGTTACAAAGCTAGCAAATCTCGCACCAACCCCAGCCAACAACTCGTTGAACACGTCTCCGACCTTTTGCGCACAAATTTTCTTCTTTGTCGACTAAATTCGGCTTTCACTATATGGTCAAAATCTGATCAACTCACATTTGATCTCCGTCCTTGCAGTACTTTGCGCTTGAGCTTTTGCGCGTCCGTCCATTTTGGGTTCTCAGTACGACGAATGATCTCATTCTAAAGTTAAAACAACCCAGTTTCTGGGAAATTGTTTTAAAACCGAATCCAAAAACAGTCAAAGATATAATAGACAATATTCATTTGAGTAAAAGTTCAACATTTTTGTGTTTTGTCAAAAACATCCAATCATTGAGTGCTCAATGAACCCATACCTCGTATCGCCGAACATTGACCTCAATTCCATGGTGTTCTCGCATGTACAGAGCGCACTCGGTGTGAAATTTATGCAGAAAGTACATCATGACTTTTGAGTCGATTCGAATCTCACACCACGCCGCATACTCCTGGTAGATCGCTTCGAAATGTCTCTGCTTTTCTTTTTTGTCACCGATTTGCTGAAACGCGACTTTTCTTTGCACAAAATTGGCTCAACCTCTAGAATTGCTTTCAAAATGCGGAACTTGATGTCCATCTCGCGGACAGCGTCGTCTTCTAGCGGTTTCGAGACATATCCGTCGATCTCTGTGTCGGAGATTTCATCTGAAGTATGTTTATGACAATTTTAGCTGTAAATTAAACCGGATTCTCGTGAGTCATGGCGTGGAAAGTTGGTTGGCGATGAAGCACTAAATGACAACAATATTTTGGCTTTTTTGACCTGCTTTGAAGTTTTGTTCTAACGATGCTATACCAAAGCTGGCCTGGTCTTACAATCAGATTGGTTTTACAGACCTTAGAGTCCAGATAGCACAACCCTAATCGGTTATAGCCGATGATATCTAACTATATTTTCAAGGCTTCACCTCATAACCACAGTTGAAGGACCAAGAGATGCGTCTCTACTCGTTGAAACTTCTCCGAGAGTTGGAACTTTATTCAACAACTCGTCTCTTTCCCCATTTTGGTCAATTTTCATCGCTTTCTTTGACTTCTCATCAATGACTTCCTGAAGCAATCTTTAATTGAATTCACTTTTCCCCTCACCAACAACAATGTTTCCTGTCTCAATTTCTCATCATCACTCATCAAAGCCAATTCTTCAATGGTAGGCAAAACCTAAAATGAATCCAATTTTTGTTTAAATAGTCATTTACCGATAAATCCTTGTCCTGATCGCCCATCTTGAAATATTTTCAACTAAAAACAGAAGTAAAACTGAAATAAATACAAGAAAAATCAAATCAAATCGATGAAATCGAATCGAAAGCTCATCCAAAACAATAAACTCAAAAATTTATTAAAGATTGCTTAATGGTGAAAATCCTGCATTTCCTCGGCTCGATTTCCGAATTTTTCTACTTCTTGGCCAGAGTCAGTTCTTTGATTCGATCGTGACCCTAGTTGGTGATAGGTTATCGCTGGTGAATGCTCTCGATACTGTGGGGCCGCTCCATATGAGGTAGCTATAAAATGATGTTTTACAGGGATTTTCCTATGAAATATTTTTTTTTTGGCTAAATTCTAGAACTGTTTTTAGATTTTTTTACTGGCTAAAGCCTAGAACTTTAACAAGTGTATTATTTCAAAACAGAAAGCTAAGGGCAAGCTTATTTGGTGTTTAGATAATGGTTTGATTGGTATGAAATGTCACTATTTTTCCGATTCTTGAAACTCGTAAACAAATTAAGTCAAGAACACTTTTCTAACAACAATGAAACCGGGTTTCCTCACTTTTTGTCAACTTTTGGCTATTGGAAATCTGCCACTTGGACACGTTATATTGTACGAATTTCTACAAGAACATAATGGCCTCTAGTGTTCAGCTAATATTAAAAATGTGGAAGGAGAAGCTCCATGTGCAAATTGGTTTGCTAAATTTCGTTCTGGGGATAAACGAAGACAAATTGAGGAGTCATCCAGCAGTTCAGCTGGATAATGCCAAGTTGCTAGAAATTTTTCAAACCAACAGGCTTCCTTCCTAATAGCCAAAGAGTGATTCGTTGATCATCGTCGAAAATTTGCATAAACAAAATGGGTCAAAATTAGAGACTCGGATTCGACATAACTTAGCAGAAACAACAAACTGACTTAAAAGACTGAACAGGCGTACCAGACACCCAGAAATGAAAACGCGTTTCAATCAGCGCGGCTTATCGTTCTCGATGCGAGCGCAAAACGTTTTTACTCCTTATGACAATGGATGAAAATGAATTCTAACTCTCAACTTTCAGTGAAAGCGTCAATGGGTTGCGCAGGGGGAAAAGCCCGAACTCAATGTCATGCCAAATGTGGATGAGAAAATGTTTATGCTTTCGGTGTTCTAGAATTTGAAAAACCCCATCTACTGGGAACTGAATAGCAAGATAACACTCAACTCAATAAAATACTCGAAACAACTAGACAAGTCAGTCAAGTCTTTGCTAGAGAAAAGATCATGATAATGCTAGACCGCATGTTTCGAAGATGACTCGTTTTAAACTAAACTTAATGGGGGGTGATCCCCATCCTGCATACAGCCCTAATCTGGCACCTTCTGATAACTACTGATTCCAAGTGATGAGCAATGATTTGATCAATAAACGTTTGATTTCGAATATGCCGTGTCGAAAAGTGGCTTACGGATGAATTTGCATTAAAACCAAAAGATTTTCTACAAAAAGGGCATCTCGTCTTTGCCAGTAAAATGAGCTCAAAGTATCCAAAATAATGGAAAATATTGATAAGGATTGCATGTAAAAGACTGAATAAATCAGTTGTTTATTTTTAGCGGCATTT